ATCTCTCAATGTTGACTTAATATTTTGCAAAATCAATTCAGCAAAACAGTTATTGTGAAACTCTCATCATAATTGTAAACCTTACAGACTGTCAGAGTCAGCCAATGGTGTTCTTTCCCTCCAGATGGTTGGTGACGTCAGGCTCTGTTTCTACTACAACACACGTCCAGTATCAGTCACAAAGGCTCCATTCAACGTCCTTTGTTGTTCATCGACCAGCATTCAAGGAGTCAGTGTGGGAAACTGAGACCAACTTTCTACCCACAGTGACCACAAGACACAAGTCACAAGACTGAAACATCTGGACAGAAAACTAACTGTTGTCTTCATGTTTTTAAATACATCATATGAGTTATAGTCTTAGTAATATATGAAATAACTGATATTCTAAAATACAGTATTTTGATCAATATAAGTCTTTAAGAGAAAAGTCAAACCGTAATAATAGAAATTGTATCTTCAGTTATGAAGAACAACATACTTTGGTACTTCAGGCTTTGGAACACAAACGTCACTTAGACAAAAGGATCTATTTCTACTCGTTATTTAGTTTAGTAAAATGTTTGTCATACAAGACATTGTAACCAAGATGTAATTAATTGTCGTCTCCACGTGTGTGATGTGATGATGAGCGTGTGCTCAGTCAAAGTCATTGGTCCCAGCATCAGGCAGCAGATCTGCTCTCTCTACAGGGTCACCACTTTCCCAGATTCACACAGAGCTCTGAGAGTCTCTCTCCATCACCCCCCCAGTCCTCCACCTGTTCCCCTGAGATCTAACCATTGTCCCCCAGGAATTAAGTACAATAAGTGTGCTGCCTCCCTCTTTGTCTCACCAAGCTCTCTGATTGGCTGAGACTGTGGGAAACCCCAACTAGACCCAGACCCACACATTCATATGGAGATGTGGGACTATAAGTAGGAGGGATGAAGCCAGCAGAGATCAGATTCTCTCTACAGAGACCTCTACAGCACAGAGATCCACACATGGCACCTACAATCACTGCAGCAATGACCAATTCTCAGGAGCACCTGACTCTGACCCACAAGGTAAATTAAAGATTCCAGAAGATCTAAATGTTGTCAATGAGACGTTGTCTTTCTTCATGCTAACTCTAAACTCCAGAATAAGATTATTCATGACTTTGTTCTTCTTTCTGCAGATCAGAAAGCCTCTGGTGGAGAAGTTACGCAGAGAGCGAATCAACAGCAGCATTGAGCAGCTCAAGTCTCTCCTGGATCCAGAGTTCCTCAAACAGCAGCCAGACTCCAAGCTGGAGAAAGCAGACATCCTGGAGATGACCGTTTGTGTCCTGAGACGACTGCAGCAGCAGCGTCGACAGCAGAGAAGACTGCTGAACCACTTCAACAAGCTGCAGTCTTCCTCTGAGAAGAACCTGAGAGAGGCTGACTTCTCTCCTCTGAGCTCCACAGTCCAGACCAGCATCACCAAAGACAAGAGTCCAGTCAGCAGCGCCCTCTGGAGGCCGTGGTAGACACCTACAGACTGGAGCTACTACCAGACTAACTGAGACGACCACATTGGTCAAAGATTACTGGAAGTGAATTCTTCTGAATCCTCAGATTTGATGAACTTGTTCTTCTGTTTGTACAGAAGTTTACTTGTGATTGTTTTCTTTGTGGAAGATGATATTTCCTGAGGAAATGATGAAACTTTATCTTTCAAGTTCAGAAAGAGAACATCTTGTCGTGCATGTTGCATGAACACAATCTGATTGCGTCAGCAATTATTATTACACATCACTGTACTTCATGTGTTGGTGGAGTGGTAAAAGCTATGGATACCATTGGTGTCTTTTAATAGTTATTGATCATTTTGATCATAAACTTTAACTCTTCTTTTTGACACATGTTAAAGGACTTTAATCTCTCTGATTACTCCAAACTGATCTGTTATTAGATCCAAATGTTTATCTTTTCTTTCTAAAAGATTTCCTTAATGTCACAATGTTCCTGTGATACTTTTATTGCTTACGACATGTCATGTGTTGGTACAATATTATGCATTGGTGACATTTGCTACCTCTTGATTAATTTTGATCATTTTGATCAAAAATGTTAATTGTCCTTTTTATGGACATTTTGTCATAATGGACTTTTCCTCACTTTATGTGATTATTGAAAAATGATCTGTTTTAAGATCAATATGTTTATCCTTTTATTGTGAAAGGTTTGTTTAACGTCACATTGTCTCAGTTTTACAGTGACAATGAGAATTTTACATTTTGGGATTCAATTGAATTCAATGTTTACTAAGAAGAATGTGATCTGTTGTAAGGTCAGTTTTTACTATTTGTTTTGTTCACTAAGTGCAAATGTTTAAATCCATTTGGAAAAGTATTTTTAAAGACAGTGAGTACTGTGTCCTCACATCATGTAAACGGTTTGTCTTTTATAAAGACGGTTGTTCCTTTACTCTCTCTGAGTACAGTGTGTCTTGTAGAAA